ACCAGTGCCAGACATGGCCCCTAACAAAAACCCTTAAGATGAAACTGATCACTTGTGAGATGAAATGCACGTGGAAGACCAAGCGAGACAAGATCAGGAATGAGGCAAGAAGAGATATGGTAGGTGCAATCCCAATTATACAACACATCGAACGACAGAGGATCAAGTGGTTCGGACACATTCACTCGTATGTCTATCAACCAACTAGCTCTACGAGCATACAAATTCCGGTATTCTGGATGGAGAGCAAGAGGCATACCAAGAAGACGCTGAAGCGACTCAGTGGCAGACATTCTCAGAACCCACGAGATATCTCTCCTCCAGGCCACTCGCCATGCCACTGACAGACGGCTGTGCCTCCTCGCGACGCCGAACAGCACAAGCGGAAGGAAAAACTCAACTAAATTATTGAAAAGATCTTGAATTGCTTACACACTTCTTTGTAATATCTACCATGTCGCAGTAATTAGCAAGTTAGCTTTTCAAATTATATTTAAAGTAGTTCGATTTTTACTGAAGTATTTTCCCCCTATTCCTTCGTCCCGGGTACGCTACTCTCTGTCCTATCTCCGTCCTGATTCTTGGTGTGTAATAATCCCGTAATTCGAAAAGTGCAAACAAAAGGTAGAACTATTGAAGATTATTTCGAACGCCAGTTTTTCCTTGAAAATTTACGTTATAGAACCAGAGATTCCTTAGGATGATCACACTAAATAAAGAACATTTTTTTCTGGAGTCCATTTTTTTTATGATAGTGTTTTCGGTCAAATAGAAAGAAAACCTAAAAAGATGTAGCACTTCATTTACAGTGACATTCAGATGCTCTGTTGTTAGAAAAATATTTCAAGGACGTAAGTTACCAACATTGCGATTTTATTTGTTTCCTTCTAACAACAGTTTACACTGGGAGTCGAATTCGCCATCTAATATAACAACAAACAATTATCCTTATCAGGCAGGGAGGAAATTGCGTTAGAAATTGTTCGTAGTTCGTTTTGGAACAGGTATAGTCCAAGTTATCGATTTTCTTCATTCCAAGTACAGGTATAACTCATTCTACGTCTTTAAGTGGTTCCAGATGTCACAACTTAGATCGCAAAATGACTTAAGTCGAAACAACCCCATTATCAACCGCAAATAAGCACTCCCCATTGCATATTACTGTATTTATGATATGTATGTACAGTATTCTGAATAAAATCATTTATCACCGATGTACCCTTACGCTTAGCATTAGGAATGAAAGAACAGCATTGCAATGTTTTCCAGTATAATACAGTTTCTTCAATGTTAAAAAATCTGTTCAGGAAAAAAGCGGTTTTCTTCGATGATCTTAGCCAATTACTTTCGGAAAATCGGCTGCTGTTTGTTTCTCAGCTGATGCACTTTCACCATGCTTCTTAATAGAATAACTTCTTCGTTCTTTAAATCTCATAAACCAGCCTTGACTTGCTTTCTCATCTGGGTGTGTCTAAACTAAACTGGATTTCAATTTCACAGAAATCACGTGTGACGCTGACAACAACGCCAAACGGAACTACCGTGGAAAACGCCAATATTGACTAAATAAGACGACAACACAGGATTTATAATGATTATATTAACATTTACTGTAAATGTACGTATTTTAGCATGATTTTATATACTTTTATTCTTATTTATCGTCCAGTAACATGGATTTATGTGCTTTTAAGGATATTTTAGTGATATTACGACTTCAACATTTGTGTCGGACAGACGTAAAGTCGAATAAAATGACTTAAACTTGATTTTTCTATATATATTTTTGACAAACGACATATAATCGAGAACTAATTAAGTCGAAACGACGTAACCCGAGGTATAGCTATATATGTTTTGACATAGTTCAAGAGTGTTGTGACGTAAGCAAGATGTGACGCGTGTGTATTTTTTATATACATTTATTTTTATATGGGATAGGGCCTCTTAAATTATAGTTCTTTTTTAAATTATAGATGGTTGTTTTTGGTGTATGAGTATTTCTTCAAAGATCATAAATTTGTTTTTACTATTTGATTTTGCTAGCATGTTGGTATTGTTTGTGTGTAGCGGTCTAATGTCGCTAGGATCCTTAAGTAGCTTGTTAATGTGTTGTGTGATAGTACTCTTGTCTAATTTGTATCTGGTAATTAAAATTAAGTAAAAATTAATCGACACAAAACGCCAGTTGTCTTTAATAATATTTGCCTTACAGAACATTTGGTGACTCAATACACAGAAGATATTAGTACATATGTGTTTATCTCGTGAGATTAAAAGTAGCGTTCACTTTGGTCACACTTTAGTCCTTTTACTGGTGAAGTTGAAATGACCTCTCCTGGGCGCAGAAAAGAACTATGATATATGGAGGCTTGCGCTGCCCAGATACAATTCCCGCTTCTCGGCCGTACCGACAAGATTCAAAAGAACACATTAGGGACTTTTTGGCTGCAGGGAGTTGCTGGAATGTTTTCTGTGTTGACAGCCAACCGCCTTCGGTAATCCACTACGGATTTTCTGTCTAGATTTACTTCCATAGACTTTTCTTTATTTGGATTCAGCCGCAGGGAATCTTTTGTTTAAAATCATAGTTTTTATTCCCATAGATGGAATCTCTTTCTAGGATGTCGACCTCAATCTACCCGACGCAGCTGCATATGAGGCGCCAGTTTTCCGCATTCACTCATTCTCCATCTTCGACATGTTAGAGGTTATTTGAGACACATGACACTGAAGCAGAATATAGACAGTGAGTCCTCTATATTCCTGCTATCACTCCTGGCTATGATAAACTTTGGAACATATATAATGTACCTATATAAATATTATGTGTTTTAGAAGCTCAAAATAATTAACTGCTATTTAAATATATGATAAAAGGTTAGGTGAACAAAAACACTAGAAAAGAAGACCTTTAAAAAATAGCACATAAATAAGCAAACAGGAATATTGAAGAGTTTCTTAATTTTAAAAATGATAACAGAAACAAAAGATAAAAATATAAATCGGGATTTACACCTAAAATACACGGAGATTATGAAGTCGTTTTTTAACATACAATGAAATAATTTATATTACCTTTTTAACAATACTAATGCCTAAAATATCAATTTGTGTAGGAAATGCAAAGTTGGTAAATATAACTTTAGCTATGCAAAAAAAAAAAAAAAAAGAAATTACAAATAAAACAAACGATCTTTAGGCGAGTTGTACAAAAATCAAAAAAATACTAATTTAATAAAACCAGGTAACTGTGCAAAAAGTCGAAACAAACATTATATAAACAATATATATAACTTCAGGTACATATAATGATCGTAGGATTTTCATATATATATATATATATATATATATATATATATATATATATATATATATATATATATTAATAATAATAATAATAATAATAATATTAATTATATTAGTCTTAAGCAATATTTACGTTTTTCAGTTAAAATTAAAATCTCTTAATTGTTTGGATCTTCGTCAAAACGCGCCGTCATTCCTTGAGTTCAGAAAATCAATCAAACAGAATATATATATATATATATATATATATATATATATATATATATATATATATATATATGTGTGTGTGTATTTAACCACAAACACACACACAGTCACACACACATACACACACACGCACACATACATACACACACACACACACACACACATATATATATATAATCAATATGGCATCATTTAACTCTTCCATAATAATATCTTCAAGCGCACCACCTCATTTTTCTTCACATCTATATCCACTTTCTTCTTCTTCTTCTTCTTCTTCTTCTTCTTGTCGTCGTTCTTTACATTCTCCCTTTTCTAATCCCCCTCCTTCATTATATATCTATTTTCTTCATTCTCCTCACACTTCTTTTTCACTTCTTTCTTTTTTTTACATCTTCTCTCTTCATTTCTTTCCACCTTATTCTTCTCTTTCGTATTCAAATCCCCTTTCTCTTCATTATTTTATTTCTCTTCCGCGTCCATATTGTCTTTTCTGTCATTCTCTTCCTCCTCCTATTCCCCTTCTCCTATTTTCTCTCTACATCATCTTACTTATTCTGCTTCTTTTCTTCCTCCTTTTCCTCTTCCTAGCCTCGTTCTAGTTTCTTATTCTTCTCTCCTTTTTACCATTTTCATTCTCCTCGTGTTTTTGTTTTCTAATTATTCACTTTTCAGCAGGTTACTTACTGTTTTACACTGATTCTATTGCCTTCAATGCCCTGTGAGTTTTAAATTCTCTGCGTCCTCTTTTCTCAATTCATATCTTGGAAATTTCATCAGCCAGATTATAATTTTAACCTCAGCTTCCATGTAGTTCATATTTTCCTTGAAGCTGCTGTGATGCACACACGGTGATTTGGAAATCCATTCAATAAAACCACATTTTTGAAACAGCAGTTCGTTATATCTGTAAAGAGAAAGACCAATATTCCCTACCATATAAGAGAGTTGATGTGACCTTAAATAAAACTGTATTAGTCTTTTCTTTCTTATGCGTCTTCGTGTTTCCATAGCATTTCCTCTCATCTGTCATTACATTAGCAAATTATTATAGCTATAGACGACTGAAGTACTCTCCCTAAGGTCAGGGGTAGACGACTGAAGACGAGAGTATCTACCTGTACTCTCCCCAAGGTCAGGGTTTGACGAGTGAAACAAGGGTATCTACCCGTAATTTTCCCAAGGTCAGGGTTTGACGACTGAAAACGAGGGTATCTACCCGTACTTTTCCCAAGGTCAGGGTTTGGCGACTGAAATAGGGTATCTACCCGTACTCTTCCCAAGGACAGGGTTAGACGAGTGAAACAAGGGTATCTAACCGTAATTTTCCCAAGGACAGGGTTAGACGACTGAAAACGAGGTTATCTACCCGTACTTTCCCCGAGGCCAGGGGTAGTCGATTGAAAACTAGGTCATCTACCCGTACTCTTCCCAAGGTCAGGGTTTGGCGACTGAAAACTAGGGTATCTACACGTAATCTTCCCATGGTCAGGGTTTGGCGACTGAAAACTAGGGTATCTACACGTAATTTTCCCAAAGTCAGGGTTAGACGACTGAAACGAGGGTATCTACCCGTACTCTTCCCAAGGTCAGGGTTAGACGACTGCAAACGAGGTTATCTACCCGTACTCTCCCCGAGGCCAGGAGTAGTCGATTAAAAACGAGGGTATCTACCCGTACTCACATCAAGGTCAGTATTAGACAACTGAAGACAGGGATATCTACTCGTACTCTTCCCAAAGTGAGTGTTAGACGACTGAAAACGAGGGTATCACCCCTTAATCTTCCCAAGGTTAGGGTTAAACGACTGAAAACGAGGCAGATAATTGAATGCTCTCAGAGATAGCAAATGAGAAAAAGATTTCTTCCAGAAAAATTCAAGTATGAAGAGAATGTAAACGACACTATATTTCTATAACATGTCGATACTTCTAATGCTGAGTGATTCAGTTGCAGTAAATAAAGATTAGCGATGTAACAGAGAAGTGACTCTACAGAGGAATTCTGAAAATTCCATGAACAGAACATGCCAGTACGACAGAAAATGAGAACAAAAACAACGTTATTACTTAAGAATTAAATGAAAAATTTGAATGATTTTGGACATATATTTCGGAAAGAGCTTAAAAATAATTCACCCTCTTCAAGACATAAAGAATGCGTGAGGTGCAGGGGAGAACTCCGAGTAAACTACCTCACGACTGTGTGAATGGATGGGCAAAGAGTCATAAGAATTAAATATTACATAGATTTAAAAAGGTACTGAAGATTTTGGTGGAACCGCGATAGCCAATATCCGAATGAAGAATGTAAAAAAAAACAAAGAATCATACTTCGTTGAGAATTACATGGGAAAGGTGATTTTTGGAGAAACTTGATAGCCAGTAACGTAAGGGAGGAATGTAAAAAACAAAGCATATATAGAGTTAAAAGGGGCAAGAGTTTTTTACGAAACATGATATCCAATATCATGAAAGAGGGATGTTAAAGAATCAAACCTTATATAGAATTGCAGGGGATAGGAGATTACTAGGAAACAAGATGGGCAATAAAATGAAGACTGCATGCTAAAGAATCAAGCTATATAAAGAATTAAAAGGGTCAGTTGTTTAATGGGGAATTATAATAACCAATATTAATATGGAATGCTAAATAATCAAACCTTATATAAAGTTAGAAGTGACAGCAGATTTGGGGGTAATCACGATAGCCAATAACATGGAGAAGGAATGTGTAAAATATCAAACCTTATATAGTGTTACAGGGGACAGGTGATTTTTGGAGAACCACCCTTGCAATATCATGAAGGAGGAATGTTGAAGAATTAAACATAATGTAGAATTCCTAGTCAGAGCTTGTTTTTGAGAAACACGATATCCAATATTATGAAGAAGGAATTGTAAAGAATCAAACCTTATATAGTTACAGTCTTAGATAGATAGATAGATAAAAAATATTACCAGCAATAAAAATCTTGTCGGCATTAAATAACCCATTAAGTTTGATATGCCGTAAACCAAACCAAACGGAACACTTGTAAACGTAGACCGTGGCAGAAAGTATCATATAATTTCTGGATCGGTAGAAGAAACCTACCATTTTCAAGGAATCGACTATTTTTCAAAGAAATGAACCATTTTTCAAGCATTTTTACCGATGGATTGTATCTAGTATCTTTTTGGGGAATTAGAAAAGAACGTTTGTAATGCACTGAATCTTTGAAACCAAAGTCACTAACTCCATCCAAGAAACACAATTGGATCAGGCGATATCTGTGCGATCAAAGGCGATACCGTGCAAGATGACCATATGGTGAAGATGAAAGATAAAGAAAAAAAATGAAATAAAAACGCCAAGGCTTCGGCCGGGAAGTGAAAAGACTTTTAAGCATAAAAGGTCAGCGGTTATACGCATCAAATTTCGCGCCCTTCGAACGAGAAATGAGATTAAAGATATTTGAGATTCGAGGGACGATAGATGTGACCCTATATCAATATTATGGTTAGAAAGGATACGAAGAGTGGTGCAAGGAATTTTGAAATTTATGCAGGGTTCTCAGTCCCCATCAATAACCAAAGTTACCTGTTACTATTAACCAATATGAAAATTGATAATAATAAGGAAAAAATTATGAAGTATCTGTTGGCGTTCTATGGAGATATGTATTCTTGTAATATCCAGAGAAAAACGGCGTGTATGCTAATGTAAGTACATCTGAAATTTACTGCAAAATTCGCATACCATCATGAAAAAGTCCCCAAACTTAATAAAAACAGTGGTATATCGGCAAAATGTTTATACTGTTGTTATGAGGAAAGACTAAATGATTTTTTATTATTTTATTCAGTTTCTTTCTGGCAAGTTAGAAATTTTGGTTTAAATTTGTGTGTGTGTGGGTGTCAGCGGTGAGTCAAAAGTTGGCATGGGAAATTTAGTGTAATTTTTGTTGTAAAAACATATTATTTTGGAAATTCTTCAAAAATCAAATAATTGTCAGATTTAAAATTTTTCAGGACTTATACATAAATAAATGAAATTATTATGAAAATCTTGGTAAGAAATACAATTTTCACGTCCGTTCTCGCCACTTAATGTTTCGACAAATTAAAATTTCAGCCTCTTAGCATAAAGGGTGTTTCATTAAGACGTATTATATATAAGGGTGTTTCATTAAGACGGATCAAAGCAGTAAATAAATCATTGTTATTGGTGAAAATTTATTTATTTATACATTGGATCATGTTATTTTAGTCATGGCAATTATGTGAGAAAAATAATATCGCCCAAATTTCCGCTAAATCTGAAAGAAAAAGAAAAATGCCATTAGACACTTAAACTTAATTTACATTTAAAACCGGTCCAAGTTATTGGAACACCCTTTATATGTATATGTTAGTTAAAAGCAGAAGTCCTTGAATAATTTGAATCATCGTTTTGTTTAAGTCAAACAGAAATACCATTTTCTCAAAATATGCTCTGAATCGTAATATAAAAAAGGTAATAAAACTGACATTATTTACGTAGAAAAGTTTTAATTCCTTTTATAAATAAGATAATAATTCAATTAATAATTAATTTTTACAAGAATCGTTTTCATTTTTTTTTTAATAATTTTAATTAGAAGAATATATTAAGTTTTAAACCTTTTTAAATTCTGTATTAATTTCAGCGGTTTTAATTGTATTATTATTAAGTGAGAAATATATTTTACTAATTGTAAATGAAAAAGTTTAATACAAATCATCAAACGCCAATATTTAAAAAATAATTTTGAATTTTTTTATTATTGCATAAACGTATCATTTTTGAATAAAGCAACCACAAGTGAGGTTAAATTTCATTGTATCCCCTACTAAATTGGATTCAGGGTAGATGAGGTTACTGCTTTTATTCAGGGTAGATGAGGTTACTGCTTTTATTCCAATTCTAGATCTTGGTTTCTTTTTTGGAATGGTTTAAGCCTTATTGTTTGGGAGATATGGTAAATGTTTATCAGAAATAGAACAAGTTATGCTGTAGCTTGTGATTTCCAAAGTGAGCGATACGCTTCTCTGGGGATGGCATTAAAATCGAGAGCCGGAGTGGAACAATAGTTCGTTACAGAGGCAGTATAAAAGAACGGGTCATAGGGGATGACTGGGTAATATTAGATGCAAATGATGTATAAATATATCTTCATATCAAAATCCTGGTGACTTACGCTTAAGGAACAAGTATAGTTTACAAAGAATGAAATTAGTGAAACCATTATATACAGGGTAAGACAAAAGTAACGGATATTTTATTTATTAACTTTTATTGAACAAAAATAAACTTTAGTAGATTACGAATATCCATATCTATCTATCTATCTATCTATCTATCTATCTAAGACTTCTTATCTATGTCATAATGTTTTATCTATTTTAGAGTGTTTTTATCTATCTGTCTATCTATCTGTCTATCTATCTGTGAAAGTTCATTTCTTTCCAACTGATTTGTACTTTAACCATCAGCTTAAACTTTAAGACGAAAAGGCGTCGTCTCCCTCCATCGGAATTTGACAAAAAAAAGATGGATGAGTCTTGCGCATTTGTGTCAAGTAAAAAGAACTGAATTATAGTGGCACTTTGATACAGGTTAGGCATCAGGATATTGTTCTCTCTGCTTTGAACATTGGCTAACCCCTCCAAGATTTAGTTTATTTTAGGGTTGTGTTTTGTCTTTAGTTTCTTCTTTCTAGCTAAACTAGCTAGGGGATATATGCTCATTGGCCCCTTTTTATTTTATTCCACGCAAAAACATGAATTGTACATATGGGGACAAGTTAGGATTTTCATAGAGACAATGAGGTATTATGGTGGCTGTATTAAGAATGGTAAGTAAGAATGTGCTGATTGGTGTTATAAATATTGTTTGTATGTTTGGGTCAGTGATCGTGGCTAGCAAAGTTTAAAGTTAAGACAGATGAAAACCATCCTTTTCCCCATTCCCCATTTTGGCCTTGTGCCACATTTTCTATTAAATTACAAATAAATATCGATTTTCGGTGGGGTACTTAGATTTTTAAAATCTAAATGTGGTAATAGACTGGCGTCGAGATCTCCTCAATTTAGTTTATCTGGAAAGATATAACCGTAAATTCTATGCTAACAGACATTTTTCTCGCACTTCTCGCCCGTGAAACTCCCTTCCAGCTCCACGATTTCCAACCAACCTTAAGCTGCAAAATGTAAATGCAATGTCAATCGCTATCAACTGTTCTACTGTTTAATTTTCTAACTTCCCACTCATTATTAATGTTTCTGTTACTAATTCTTTCACACCCTGTAAACCCTTGTGTCTTAGTGGATTTACTGCCTTAAATGGGGTGATACCAGTCAAAAAAATTTGAGCAGGTGCGTTGCTGCTTTTCTGGCACACAGTGCACATGCGCGTTTTGTGAAATGCTGAGTATTTTCTTTGATGCACATTTCACAGTGCTGTTTAAGGTAATGCAAATAGTTATCGCAACGTTGCCATTCTTACACCCTTTGAACCCAAATCAGCGCGGTGGTAGAGAAAAATTATATAATGTCCAGCCGCCGGTTGAACAGTGGTAGAGAAAAATGACTTAATACCCAGCCGCCGGTTGAACGGTAGTAGCAAAAAATGACTTAATACCCAGCCGCCGGTTGAACGGTGGTAGCGAAAATGACACCCAGCCGGTTGAACGGTAGTAGCGAAAAATGACTTAATACCCAGCCGCCGGTTGAACGGTAGTAGCGAAAAATGACTTAATACCCAGCCGCCGGTTGAACGGTAGTAGCGAAAAATGACTTAATACCTAGCCGCCGGTTGAACGGTGGTAGAAAAATGACTTAATACCCAGCCGCCGGTTGAACGGTGGTAGCGAAAAATATCTTATTCCTAAAATTTCGCTCGAAGATGAAACGGGACTAAACACCTCAATTCAACTTAATTTTAATAATTATTTGGATGGTTTCGGCTCTCGTTTTTGAAACATGAGAACTCTTATGTAGCGAAGGAATCATATTTTCAAACAAAAAATATTATTATAATAAAGCTCTACTTATGTATGGAGCACTGTCTTCTTAAAAATAAAAACAAAAATATCAAGGAACCCAACGTGTTCTTTTCTATTTTCTGCATACCAGCATACCAGGCTAAGGCAGTGGAAAAAATTCAGATGGAAAATTAACAGGAGATAACTGATAACTGACATCCATTAAACATGACACGTGGAACTAGAACAGTCTACCCCAGTGAGCGAAATAAAGGGTTCGGTTCGACACTCCAACCACCTGAAGAAGGCCGGAGCGTACAACAGCCGAAATGTTGTAATGAATATGGCGACAAAGATGAGGACAATAGTCCGAATAATGTAAATAATGTATATCCAGCCTACTTTCTTTAAAAATAAGATATTGGAAACTGTCATTTTCTCACGGGTTTGAACTCCTGCCTCTGACTTCGCTCCAGAAAACGCAACTATTTCAACTATAAGACAGATTTTTGTATGTTAAATAGTTACAAATTGCCATTATGCAAGACGCCTACGAAATATAATGCCAACTGTACTTTTGCTTGATTTTTCTTTCTGATTTCACACGCATAACAAAAATAAAATAAGTTCAAGTATTTCCCGCTTTTTTATTATTAGAAAAGGAAGCCCGATTGACATTCCAAGCGAAGCGACACGTGTCAGTTTTTGAACCGCGCCAAGAAATTCAATGGTGGATAATTAGTAAGGGAAAAATACCCAAAGCATTTCTCCCAAACAAAGCTACGACTACATTTAATACGACTTTGAACGACCATACTTTTGAGTCTTATCACGACCATGACAGCGGCGATGATGACGACAATAACAACATTAATGACACGAACAACAATAACAATAGTTATAATAATACGTATTCTTTTGTACACATTGTGTTTTCGCATCAGTAGGAACTAATGTCTGAAAAGCAAGTGACAACAAGTCATCTCAATATTTTCATGGTTATTCTTCATTTTCTAGCCAGTTATTTCCGTGTTGTCTTCTGAGGGGTTTCAGTTCTACTTCTAATCAACAAAAACATGGCGACTGTTCTCTTACGCCGATAATAAAAATCACACCGGTCACTTCCAGATAGAATTTCTTCAGCTTTCTGATAAATACTATAAATTTTACAAGCTTTTCCCACCATTATAGCAGTTTGGGTCTTACGGCTGTATCACGTTGAAACATCGGTTCCCGGACAATTGCCGAAGTTTAGAGCCGTCGATCCTGGTCGGTACACTGATGGGCGACCGGCTGGGAATACCAGGTGCTGCAAGCTTGGATGTGCGGGATGATATAATGGATAATGGCTCCGAATTGTTAATCGGAGAGCCGAGTTCTAATTCCCGTCGGCTTCTTTATATTTACTTAATTAAGAATCCACCTATCCTTCCCCCCAGCTATGGGTTAATTAGTAAGACATGTATCACAAAATCATTATTATCAAAATAAAAACAAAACAAAAACTCTTACAATGTTGAAATATTTTCTGGCTTTAAGCAACTAGCAATGGGTTGATAATCCGTAAAAAAACGAATCAAGCATTCAAAAAAGCGGTAGATCCCAATTTTTCTTTTTAAATGTCATCCCCTACAGTCTCAGGTCACATCCGTATCACACTCTTGTAATATCTGTAAGAAAATAATTCTTTCAGTGTATTACATAGGCTGCTAATTTGAGAATAATTTCTAATAATTTCTCCCTAAGTGAGTCGATAAAGCCACTAAGACGCAAGGGATTAATGGGCGTGTTGTAACTGATGATACGTTGCTAAGGAGACAGACTAATAAAAGGAACAGAATTGAAGGATAACGAAAATGACAAGTGACTTTAAAGATTGTTGTATTTGACAATAAAGGAATGAGAGTTCCACAGGCGAGTAGTGCGCGAGAAGACAATAATACAATAAAGCTTACGGTTGCACTTAGCAATTTTAAAAGTAAAATTGTGAGATCAAGATTTTACGCTGTAAACACGCATATATATTTGTTGTAGCATACATACCTACGGACAATGTCCCCATTCACATAAATATAGTAGTAAATACTGTATGTTGGTCTGCAGTTGGAGATTCGTTTCCAGCTGTGCTGGTCAAACTCTCAGCCTCTGCGCACAGAGAATCCACAGACGAGGCTATGTCGAAGCGCAGAGTCTCGTCTTGGGAAACAGATACCCGACCCCGTTTTATAAGGGGTCTACGAGTAATTTTTGGCCGAGCAAACGGGCTCGGATACGTCACGTTAAATTCGGTCTTGACCCACATGTAACCGCGTGGGGCGGTTGCTAGATATCCTGCAGTTGACGATTCGCTCCATTTGTGCTGGTCAAACTCTCTGCCTCCAGGTAGACGGGATCCCCAGACGTGGCTATGCCGAAGGGCAAAGTCTCGTCTCGGGAAACAGCTACCCGCCCCCTTTTTATACGGGGTCTACGGGGAAATTTTGCACGGGCCTACGTGCTCGGATACCCCACTTTAAACCCGGCCTTGTTTCACATCTGATCGCGTGTGGTGGCAGTTATTAGATATTCTGCTGGACGCAATCGTCAGGCGGCCTGACGATTGCGTCTAGCATGACACAGTCTGTCGCATCTGAATGTTGATTTCAATGTTCACTTTTATATTCATATTTACATACGCTCCATCTCTGATATTGAGCACTTTATCCTATAAATATAGCACACCCTAAAACTATATATATATATATATATATATATATATATATAAGGAAAGAGAGAGAAAGAGAGCATGCTTTCATTGATGCAAGTTTGATTAAATACAACTGACAAGGAGTTTTCTACGATATACTTCTCTTCTTAAAATCATCTTAATAGATGTATAGATAGCTAGATCATTAAGCACAAAAGCCTTCACCACTATAATGATATCGTATGTGCTTGGGTCGGTTCCTGAGAACTGAGCTGCTTGACACTCATACGTCGAATACGACGCGAGCCAGATAGATCCAAACAGTTTGAAATAGATAGATAAATAGATAGATAGATAAAACACTCTAAAATAGATAAAACATTATGACATAGATAAGAAGTGATGAGATGCTCGCATCCAGCCGCTTCAGCTGCCTCAAGGCAAGGAAACTCGGTTACATCGAACTGAGGAGTGCTCAGACCGGGCTCCCTCGTGAAGAGATTCTGGAGGTAATTACGAAAAGCCTCGCATATGCCCGCGTATGTAGTCACGGTCCGATTATCCGGCAATGTGATGCACCTGATATGTCGCTGAGATGTATTCCGATCTTCCTCTGCACGCAATTCAGCGGCCATATTCAGTGTCTTAGAGGACATTCTTTTTATCTAGTCCTAACTACAAAAGCTTTAACCTTCTTAAGAGGAAAGAAGGCGAACTCTCCCCAAGCTAAAGCTATGTCCCTACTATCACTGTATTTAAGCGGCCGATCAACTTTTTTGCTCACAGGCAGTTTGCATCGCTAATCTATGTAGATTAGCCGACCACTATATTCAGCAGAAAACTTCTAATGTTAGATTTTAGCTTATCCCACCACATATTTTAAACTACAACTCCCCCTAGTTCTCGCTATAGCATTACAAGCAGATGGTCCCGGAAATCTTGCTCAGCAAACAATGATGAATTCAATTTATTGTCGCAAGCCATCTTAACCTTAGGCTTATTTAAGTTTACACGGACCCGGACGAGCCTATGATCTGAATAAACTATATAGTGGAAACGATGGCACCCTAATATCACTACATGGACTCTCCTAAGGAAGACTCGGTCGGAGTAGCTACAACGCACCTAGAGAAAACCATCTACACAGAATGCCTTCATAAACTCGAGTAGAAAACAAGGTCTCCTGCACACAACACACATTCACCCCGAGATGCTGAAGGGGATGAGAGAGCCTCGCTCAACGGAACTCTGACATTCACACCCCAGGAATTCACGCTAGCTAACCAGAGTGCCATTATCAAACGGATTAGGGTCGCTCTTTTCTATTGAACATAGCCGTGGTGAGGACACCGACACCCTCACCCATAGAACCTGGTCCCATCTCAGGAGTGAGTCCACCAATGTCCCAGGGGGGCGTTAATTTAGCTCTATACAAGGAGGAGTGAACAAAAAGTGGGAACCTCCTTGAACAGTATTGATTTAATTATTTTACATTTTCATTGTCAAAAAAGGCTAATACAGGAAATATCCAATAAACATGATTAGCCTCTTGGATCATTGACCATAGCTGTTGCCCTGGTACCGTAGAACTCACCACAGTAAATATTCTCTTGGACTGAGGGAAATTTTTAGTGTTTTCAACATCTAAGCCATTTATTTTTTTCAATTTTATGAGATTTGAAATATCTGGATTGGGTAGCTATTATCTCTTCTAGGTCCTTTGTTATGTGATAAATATCTTCTCCAGTATTGTAGTTTGGTTTGGAGATTTTTTTCGTTCGTGTGTTCAATAGAATCACTTGATGTCTTTTCTGTTACTCAGATTTTGGTGGAGAGCTTACGGGAGTTTGGACAGGGTATGACATAAGGATATGGGTAGCGATAAGCCTTTTTATAGCGAAGGATTTGGAACTAGGAGTCTTCATGAGAATGGTAATTTTGGAAGGGGTGTCAGACAAAGAATTTTCATGGAAGGTAGAGCCTTGTTACTATATTTTACAGAGGATGGAGTAATCGGCAATGCTAGAATATAACTAGTTTGGTTTTCGAGGCATTGAATGAAACCCGCCATTTTTTCCTGCACTGAGGTTAGGTCAGAAGAGAGATAAGCTACTAATCAACTAGAGTTATTAGCTAGGTTTCTATTTGAGTCTATAAGTAAAATTTATAGGTAGAATTTTATACTTAACCTAAAGGTTAACCTTAGTCCTCCATGAAAAAGTCTACAAGAAATCTAATTACTAAGTGGCCTTTTTAGCTGGTTTATTATACTTTTACAAAGGATTTAGTAAACGCATTCATTTTCCTTCGCGAGGGAAACTGATGTTTGACGTTGCCAGTTATTTGCCAGAGGTAATAAACGATTTTCCTAAATCTGACCAAATGATCAGATTTTTGTTCGTTATTGCTTACTAGTCAGGTTGAGGATTTACAGCACTATGTACGGTTTTCGTCAATTTCGACGGAGGAGTTCCCAGTAGTACTACACATCAGTAATGAATCGCTACACCACCCACACAGGTAATTTGATTAAAGATTTGAAAGTTTATACAGAACTAAAGACGTTTTTAAAACTACTGATAATAAAGAGACGTAGCACAGTGTGACATGAAGGCTTCTTTGGGTTATATTGTTCTTCAATTTGCTGCGGATCAAGTCAACAAAACAATCCTGCTATTTAATGCGTATCTGAAGGCAGAAAGACTCATGCCTTCTTCAAAACTATCAGTACGAAGTAAAACGAAACAAAATCGGCCGAAATTTGAAAATGATTTCACGCGGATAACTCTTACATTACACATTTTAAGCATTAAAGAGTTGCATTTTTAGCAATATATGTGACCTTGTACCAGACATGACGCGATGGACAGTGTATTTTTAAGTAAACACCTTGCGTAAAAGAATCAATACGTAGATTAATAAGAAGAAGCTAATTATGACTGTAATTAATTTCATACGTATAATTTAATAATGGTAGATGTCATATTACCCTATGGCGCATGCGCAATGAAATATTCGTCGGAGAAACAAAATAACGAAAAACAAAAGCAAATAAGCTGTGAATTAAAACATAAATAAAAAAAAATCTGTGTGAACTCATAATAATGTGTAAATTATTTCTCTCTCTCTCTCTCTTTATATATATATATATATATCTTTATATATATATATATATATATATATATTCACACACACATATGTTTGTGTGTGTGCGCGCGCGTGTGAGTATGTGTGTGTTTTCTTCTATTATAGAAATTTATGCTTCATTTTCTTTTTCATTATCACAAAATTTATATGAAGATTATTTCCTTTAATTCAATCACTAATTTCTATTTTCAGAACTCACACGTCTGCTACGGTGTTTAAGCAAATCCCTGTTGTTTGTAGTGGCTCTTGGGCCTTGTATTTGATGAATATATATATATATATATATATATATATATATATATATATATATATGTGTGTATATATATATATATATATATATATATATATATATATATATATATATATGTCATATTTCAGACGTTTCCATCAGCAAAGGAATTAATCTGTATTTATTTGTCCATGTGTGCGCATGCGTTACTTTTTATTCTATATTATTTGGTTCTGCTGAAAATGTTTTTAGCAGAGTCACCTTTCTTTGTCGACAACAAATTCGTTCAGATGTCTACTCTTTCCTTCTCTTTTTTTCCTTTTTTTCTTTTTCTCCCTTCCTTTTTTCTCTCGTTTTCTTCTTTCTTCATCCTCTCTATCGCTTTCCGTCTTTCTCCACTATCATCTTGCTCTTCCTTGTTCTCACTTTTTTTTCCTTTTACCGTCTTCCTTTTTCTTTCTTTTTCTCTTTGTTTCTACGCTTTCTCCTTGTCGCATCCCTCCTTCCTCCATTCATTTCCCTACTTTCTTCCTCCTTTGTACTGCTGCCTCTTTTTCTACCTATTCATCTCTCACACTTTTTTTACTCACTTTTCTTTTTTTCTTCCTATCTACTCTTATTTCTCGCCTTTTAAATATAATACTTTTCCTTTTTCTTTTTATTCTCTTTTTACTTTTTCGCGTCCCTCTTTCATCTCTTGTTTCACATTTTACCACCTCTTTCTTTCCTTCTTCTGTGTCACTTCTATTCTGTTTCATCAGCTTTATTCGGAATGACGACCTCTCTCAGAAAGAAACAAAAGGGAGATATCTCCATTTTGCTTCTTATGAGAAAGGTGCGTCTTTCTGAACAAAGCTGATTCTGTAAAACCGTTTTCGAATACAAAAGAAATCAATAAATCCATAACTTTCGCGAAATTGTTTGAGCATCAAATTTG